ACAGAATTATACTGAAAAATTTTCCTCTTTGATTTCACCTGAGTCCGTTCGGCAAGTGTCAGTGCGAGTTGGATTACATGAGCCTTTTGTCCGATGAACATTTTTAGTTAGCGCGAAAAATAAAAATCTGTTGGCTTTTTTTTTCTCGTGAAATCAATGATAAATTAGCCCGAAAAGTCATGAAATCATATCTTATTTGCATATTTAAAATAAGGAACTTCATTAAAATAACTTAGTTAGAACAATAAAACATGGCTGCGAGTCATCATTTGGTTGCGGTGCATGTCAGCATAATGAGTACGTAAATCACTTAACGGGTAGTTAGCTCAAACTTGTGTATAATTAGGAAGAAAGTCTGGAAAATTCTCACTGCTCGCGCGTGTATACGAAATGTTTACAGATGCAATGACAATCAACAGTTATACTGCTCTGTTTTGAGAAAGTGATCATGAAGAGATCCTTTGCGACTAATCCATCCTGAGAAGCCTTTATACCTCTATGACCTACTTTGTTGTACCGGGCAGTCAAACTCGACGATGTGCTAGACCAAGTATTTGTGATTTGGTTTGTTACTCCACGGTCATTTTTTGCACACGAGGACTAATAAGACCGGAGCCTACAGTTTAACTGTGAATTCCGAACAAACCGCGTGCTAGTTACTTGCACATCAGATCGAATTTCTTTGGGAGGTTTCCTGCAAAAAATAATCTTTTTACTTTCATTTTATAATCATTTATTTTATTCAATATGGGGCCTAATGGCTGAGTGGCTAGCGCTCTGGTTCTAGGTACCACAGGTTTCGGGTTCGAGTCTCAGCGGTGCCATGGAAGTAGGGGTTCGGAATCCACTTTAAACCGTAGGTTCCGGTCTAATAGGATCATACAGCGTTTCGGAGGTAGTATTACTTGTGTCCACATATCTTAAAGCGACACGTACCCCTTGGGTAGTGCAAAATGAGTAACAGCGGTGCAGCCGTTGCTTATGGCATAAAGATTAATTGTCTCTATACTGCCAGGTGCATTAGAACAACAACTTAATTCACCTTTACAAACATGTAAAATTGCAGTCGGGTCTGGCAATTCTTACCGAATGCGTTAAATTATATTACAATGATTGTATTTAAGCTCAAATATTTTTTTTTCGAAATATTTGAAGAAAATTAAATAATTTACCTAGTTATAAGTGATTAATCAAGAAATGAGTCCTAAAAAACTCTTTTCCATTTATTAATTACTATTATTAAATGATTAGATTTTTTTTTTCTTCAAAAGTTGCATTTATGGTAGAATTTTTTTAAAAATGCAAACTAAAAAGTTGAGATTTAATTTTATAATAACATCCGAAATGTGTGCACTTTTTGCACTTTCTCATACGCGTGTTTTCTTAAAAAACTTGGCGAAAAAAAAGAAAGTATTTGCTAGCAATACTTAATGTGAACTTTTCACAAAAAAAGTAATTTCATTTAATTGCGTAATAGCTATTGAATTTTTTTTCCCGTTTTATATATACTTTAAAAGTAAAACTGATGTTTAGATGATAAATTTTCCTAAAAACTTTAAATGGATATTAAGAAAAAAATTAATTATACTGATACTTTATTTAAAGAGGGGAAAAAACTTGGAAGTTTATTGCAATTTGATTTGGAAGAGTTTTATCTGTATGTTTTTTGACATCCAAATGGTAATAATAATTTCTTTTTTTTAAAGCATATAGTATTTTAAGGTTTTTCAAAGAGAGACTATGGAATTAAAGAAAATTACTAAATTTTTTATCTGCTTTAATGAGAATAAAAGGTTTTAATCTTAATTGCTTAATTTTAGTACACATATATTTCTTTTTTGCAATGAAATGAAGACAAATTAATGTATACGAATAAGTTTTTATGTTATTTCTGATTAAAGTTTAAAAAAAAATCATTATTGTAGGATGGCATATATGTTTTCTTACATAGTTTATTCCATAATTTTAACAAATATTAAAAATATTCCATTTTATATAATTTTTTAAAAATTATGTTGTTGTTCTAATGCAGCTGGCAATACAGACAGTTAATACTTATGCCATTAGCAATGGCTGCGATGCTGTTACTCATTTAGCCAGGGGACACGTGTAGCTTGAAGATATACTACGGATGCGTGTAACGCTACTCCCACAACGCTCTAAGATCCTGTTAGGACCGGGACCTACAGTTTAAAGTGGATTCCGAACCACTACAAACATCCATGGCACAGCCGGGATTCTAACCCGTTACCTGTGCCAGATTTTTTTTAATTATAAATCTAGGCATTAATAATCCCATATCATTTCACTTTATTAACTTAATTAAAAAATTAACGACAATAAAGTTCAAGAAAACATGCATTAATAATAATATAAAACATTAAAACCTGACTTGTGGCTCAGTGGCAACGCATGCCGTTGGTGACCATTAAGGCTGAGGTTCAATCTGCTGGCGGCTTTGACACTGTTTCTAAAAACGAGGAAACTCGATGGCTTTTGTAAGGTTCCTCATTTCGCCTTGTGAGTCAGACTACCTGGTGGGAATTTTCCGAGTTTTCTCTCATACGGATGTTCATATGCGGGGTAGCTCCCCGTAAAAATCCCCCGATAGGTACTGCCCTCCTTCTTTAGCGTCATGGAGTCAAATCAGACTTCTACCTACGGGTGCTCCCTCACAACAGAAGATGTCACTTTAAGTTTTTATGGGAATCAAGTATTAGTAATAAAACTACAATATGATCGAACGAATATTTCAACATATTACATAGAAGAAGCTCATATTCTCAGAAATTGATATGCCCGACTCGGGGAATGTAGGTCGTTGGTGAGCCTTAGGGCTGAGGTTCAATCCGTTGTCGGCTTTGTTGCAGACACTGTTTTAAAACACGAAGAGACTCGGCTGCATTAGCGATGTTCAGCATCTTGCCTGGTTAGTAGGACAACAGGGCCGGGAGTATTCTGGTTTTATTCCATACGCAAATGCGAGATAGTTCCCCCTAAAAGTCCTCCCGATAGGCAACCTATTCCCTCCTTCAATGTCGTGGAGCCTAGCCAGACTTCTACCTATGGGTGTTCCATCACAACAAAAGCTATGTTTGCCTTTTCCACCTTCCATATACCACACGGGTTCTTGGATAGGGTCTAGGTGTTTCTGTCTACCAAGTGTGCTAAGGAAAAAAAACACGGTAACCTATTTTTAATATAAAAATTACCTAATGTAGTAAATATTTACATCATTGGAAGGCACATTCCAAAGTGTGTTTTTCCGGTTTCATAGAGCAAACCGGAAAGTGTTACGATGTCAAACAGGAAAATGTAATCATTTCTTTTTCTGTTGGATTGAGTAATGAAATACGAAATCTATTTTACATCCTCTTCCAATTACAATAAACTTGAATTAATTTAGATGAATCTTCCTAATTACGACTTTATTATTTACTTATATCGCTTATTGTCTGATCACAATTGTGCAATCACGATTCACGATAACACGCTGTTTATCTCTGTCATGAACGCTGTCTAACATAAAATTGTCAATATAACCGTTAAAATATTGAACATTCAATATGCTTATTTTATTAATTTTTTAAAATTGTTATTATTAAAAAAATAGAAAAATGAAATTAATAATATTTAAATTTAATTTAAGTGCTAATCTATCTTTCCTATTTTATTTTCTGATATATTCTTTGTTTCAGAGAAGTAAACTTCTGGAATTTCAATGATTTAAAAAAAAAAAAATCAGCTTATTTTTGTTTTAGACGACATTCTTTATTTTAATCATAAAAACATTTTAACTGTCGATGAAGAAAACAAATAATATGAGAAGAAATCGAACATTATTATGACATGTTTTTGTTTATTATCATGAAAGATATCTTAGCTCTCAAAGGGTGCGACAGGATACATTGGTGTTCCCTAGACGATTTCCGATTGTTCCCTATGGTATTCCAGAGAAATATGTGGCCTGACATAAAAATAAATATATAGTTACTCTTTTTGTCAGTTTTGCTTTTCAAAGATAGCTTTCATTACAAGCAACTAACCTTTTCGTTGTTTTTCTCTCTTCGTTCATCACATAAAAAATCGCCAAATAGCAATAACGCGCCAAAGAAGTTCTTTTCGAGATATACGTAGTAGTGGTGACTTCCATGGTTGGCTATTAGGATCTTTGGGATTTTCAATGTTAAAAAAAATTCCATTGCAGCCTCTGCGATTCCGGCTTTTGTAAGCAATAGTCCAGTGGTTCTCAAACTTTTTGAAGTCGGCGAGCATTTAAAAACATATAAATATGCAATTGCGGACTCACTATATATAAATTTCTGGCAAATAAGTACCCGATATTAAAGACCCACAGTTTTATATAAAGATGACCAATTACATACCAATAAACTTTTATACAAAGATGAGCAATTACATAC